CATCCGCCAGCAGCTTCCAAAGAAAACGATCTCTGGGTGATCGTGCAGGACGACTTTGCTTGCTCTAGACAGGTTGAAAAGGCATCAAAAATAGTCAGTCAATACCTTGGACTCTTACGGAGGGCTTTCGGGAATTTTGAGCCATCTATCTTCCCGCAAATGCTGAACACTTACGTGAGGCCTCACGTGAAATATGCGATCCAGGCCTGGAGTCCCTGGCGCAAGCGCGACGGCGATGCAATTGAAGCTCCGCAACCTAGAGCGATCAAAGTCGTTAGAGGATTGTTGCATCTCTCCTACCAACACAGATTGCAGTCCCTGAGCTTGTACAGTGGTGAATATCGACGTCAGTGAGGAGACCTAATCCTGGTTTACTTAATATTGACGAACCCAACTCACCCATGTCGCAATCTCTTGCAGCTGAGCCGAAATACCATTCCCAGCGGTCATCAGCTCAAACTGGCTAAGCACTACAGTCGACTTGATTGTCGATGCAACGTTTTCTCCCTCCGTGTGTCCCGTGCCTGGAATGCCCTTCCGATTCACGTTATCCTTACCCCTACATTAATGCTATTCAAAAAACGCCTTGATGAGACGCTTTCAAGCTTGCATTACTTGTTATAGTCCGTTCCCCTTGGAGGAGGAAACAAGGCAAACCTAACCATGTTCTTAACGGCCCTCTCCGCAACGGGACGGTGAGGATACATACAGAAGTGTCAATGTATTTAGCCTGGATGTATCTAAACTAGATGAACCTGCGACATCTGTCAAAGTAAGCAACACACGAGTGAGCGTTGTCGTTTCCTTTTTCATTTCCCACCCACTTACTTAACTATAACAGCTCTCTATACTAATTTGTTTGTGCACATCCCATACCCACTGCAAACTATCGTTATGCAGTAGTGCAGTTAACTCGGTGGACGCTTAAAATAACGATTTACTTATTCGAGGATCCTTCAAATTTTAACTTTTACTTCAACCATCCTACGGGACTTGTCAAGCACATGTTTTTTACCCCTGACAAATCATTGTTCGTTGTTAATCCCACATATCTATCAGAGCTCCAGCTAGTTGCTTAGCCTGACGGGGCTATTGTGTCAAAGCGAGACTTCATTCATCAAACGCATTAATAAATTCGAAAAGGTCAGTAAGAGGCCGAAGGCTGGCGGGTGTATACTTTTTGTGTAAACTTCCAGTAGCAATAGGTACAAAACACACGCGTCTTCTTGCTGTGTTTTTCAACTTGTTGTGGAGAACTAATTCTTTTAAATTAACTGTTCGCCATAAATTTGTTTGAATCGTTAAATAACTAATGAACTAAGTTACAATTCGGAAAAGTTAAGTTAGGAAATCTTGAACGCGAAAACGTGCAGTAATATTGTAATTTGCTCTGGAAGTGTGCTTGTTAGACCCAGATCTATAGACAACCGGCAATCAGAAAGGAACATCTCTAAACTTTGTGTGGCGCACAACCAACACTAAACGGTAAAAGTTGTTGTTTTACGTACAAAGTCAGCCACCAGGCACCTCGTCGACATACAGAACAACTTTGTGAGTTCTTAAGAAGGTAATCTTAAGCAGTGCTGCACATCAGGTCATACATATTAGTACTGAACAACTTTATCAGCGCCCTCTTACTGGCATTTAGAAGCTATCATTATCTGTTGGCAAATGCAGGGGATTCAGCTTCCGAATTAGGTGACAGCCCTTGGGAAACAGGTCAAACAGAGCCACCCAACTTTTATCGTACTTGAGGGTGCCTAAATCTTTACTTAACCATGTCTATCTCTCAGGTGGAACACACACAGATGATCAGCTCCTGCTTTATTGTATGTACCTGCTGCATAGCTGATGAGCAAGTTAAGGCAGCTTCTTCATTTTCTACTATAGAAGTGCCTTGCATTTTGCTGCCGTTGACGACCCAGAACTTCAACGTGATGATTCAATGTGATGCCCTCTGAGCCTAGGTCGTGGGGACCCATATTTGGTGACCATAGCGCATCATCCCACAGAGTCCATTTTGATAATGGGCAGCCCTGTGGACTTCGCTGTGAAAAGCATACTAACGCAGCGTTACAACTATTTTTTCCACTTGGGGACCGCAGCCTGCACCTCCTAAACACCCAGCAACGAGAGTTCCAAAGTTAAAAGCTAGAGCCAATCACTAGTTCGCCGGGGCGAACGACCTGGTATCCTGGAACCTGTACACCAATTATAGCAATAATGAGGCGGTAAAAAACATGTTTTGTTGTGCGTGACAACATCCTGCTAAGCTTTCACCAGCGCACATATATGTAGATCAAGTTCCAGCCCCTTAACGCATCACACATCGCAGCTGCTTGCCCCTAACTTTTTTACATCGGTTCGTCCCAATCTGCTGAATTTTACCTGCATTTCTGAACCCGTGTCTTCACTTACCTAAGTCGCATCCCGACCAGCCTTGATTTATTCCAAGGATCCTGATTTGCTTGACCTTTATTGCATTAATTTGCTCGGTGGTAACTCCTGGAAGCACCGATAAAAGCATTTCTGGCTGAATTATCGGCCTCTTCGTGGCTCAGATCTGCTACCGCTCGTGGCTCGCAGTCAGTTTTTTGCTCTTTCGGTGGGACGTGCGTTTCGCCGTCTGATCTCATTCATGGTTCCGGTGCTTGTTTTCTTTTCGTCCCGTTGTTGTGGCTTTTCATTTTTCCGTGTAATCGTCGACATTACTCTCGCCCTCAAGGGCAGAGTTTACAACGCAGCCGTCCGTTCAACTCTCCTATATGGCTGTGAAACCTGGCCCATCAGGTCGACAGACATGAAGAGACTCGTCACGTTCGATCATCGCTGCCTTCGCAGCTTAGCTCATGTCTGGTGGGAACACCGCGTGAGCAATGAGCGTGTTCGACATCGCGTATTTGGTGCAGGAAGAGCGAGTGAACCGCTCAGCACGATTATATCACGCACCAGGCTCCGATGGCTGGGCCACGTGTTGCGCATGCCAGCACACCGACTCCCACGACGTGCACTGTTTGCGCGTTGTGGGTGCGGTTGGAAGAGGAGGAGGGGAGGCCAAGTGATGACTTGGTCGCGAGAAATGAAAACCCTCACTTCGAAGTTGGCGTTGGTTGGTGCATCCCGACTGCCTGGCTGGGGTCCTAAGGCCGGTGAACACGTTTGGCTGGACACACTTGCTGATATGGCTAGGAGCCGGCCCCAATGGCGTTTGTGTTGTGAGTTCCTTTGTCCATCCCCCTCCTGTTTAGCACCCCCCTCCAATCCCGATCGCAATCGTTAGGCATAATATGACTTTCTTTTACGGCAGCCAGCTGTTAGCTCTCCGGAACGATGTCCATCCGTTACTGGGGACTCAGCGGGCGTGCCACTGTTTGTTTGTTTTTTCTTTTCTTGCCTTTTGTATTGCGGCACAATAGCTGAGGTGTTTTCCACCTCCAGCTAACGTGTAATGATGATGATGATGTAATCGTCGCCCTCCGTACCCCTACATAAGTAGAGGCCTAAAGTCGACACGGGAATAGCGATGGTCCTCCGGGCAGCAGTTACTATGTGGCACTATTATTTTGCCATTTGTTCCATAGAAGATTCTGCTGAAGAGGATGAGAAAGCCATCGTCATTAGAAAATGTAGTATCCCGTCGATTTTATCAGACAAATAAATGGTCATTCCTGATGACACATATACCTAAGCCATCCCTTAGGGGTAATTCGTGGATTGTTCAACAGGATAATGGCTACTCCGACGAAGGGTCAGTATCAATGTGTTGGATTTGCACTAATTTTCATGTGATTTTAACCTTGAACATATTACGATCTGCATAGGCGAGGGTGTTGACAATTGCTCTAGAGTTCCACGGCATGGAAGAGCAAATTCGTGAGGCAAGTAAGGCAATAAAGTCGCCTAAATTATTACCCCAGTGTATTCATGTCAAGGAATGCTCTTCGCGTGAACGTCGTGTTCAAGATGCGGCAAAGACTTGATAAAATTGGCAAGATTTAAAGGGTTCCTCGAATTGTCCGAACATCGTCCTCACTTGCCTTATCCATCGCAGTTAAGCATAAAAGCAAGTCCCGCCTGTTTATGTTGTCAAATGAATTCCCAGGTATGTTAGCTGACCGATGTCCAAGTTCTGGCAGTAGGCCCATTGTTAACTTCGTCAAGTTCAACACGAACATTCATTGAAGCGTGCAAAGTATCCGCAAAGTAGACGTAGACTTATCCTATTATAAGACCTATAACAACGTCCTTCTATTTCCACCGTAAGTGCAACCGTAGTGTAAAATTACTCATGGCGCTACTTTTACCATTTCGGAATTTCGTGGAAATAGGAGTTTTGACTTACACCACTCACCCTTCTACCCTAGTGTTGGTCTAATAATTCTACACCAATGAGATAGTTTTACGAGGCAACTCTTTGTTACCAATAAGAGAGTAGATGCTATTTCCTTCTGGGTGTCCGGACAGGGAGTCACAGATATAACAGGAGCACTTTCCCAGCCAGTAAACAAAATGTACCTCCCGAGGAGGATGCGGATGCATTATTGCTCACAATAAGTCCTACTCATCCGTTTGGTCAACTTATCCTGTACTACATTTTTAGGTGAAGCGAGGCAATTCATTCCTGCTCCGATGGGTGTTCCCCATACAGCTAATCACATTTGACTTAAGACCATGATTCTATGAGCCTCTTTGAACTTCCTACAAGCAAACATATCCTCCCGTTTATCGTGGCTCGTGTATGATGCTGATTGTTGCCTTTTGACCTCATGGGGCAATTACAATGCCAGTACACCAGACAGAAAGGTCATCTTGTCTTTCGTAACTGAGTATGCTGCTCACGCATAACAACACCGGGCCTGTCAGCATGCCACGGAATCAGTTTCACCAGTTCTCCGATCTTTGGTTAAATATTCTAAACTGTTCAATATTTATTATCACGTTCGTTTTGCCAAGCTCGAATGCCTCACCTCCGTTTTCCTGTCTCTTTACAACTGAAACAGTATATTTCACCAGGGGAACGCATCAGAACTGCATCAATGGTGCATTTACTTTTCGCCCAACTTCTTGGCGATTTGTTCTGCCCTGTCATGCCCCGCCTGTGTCATGAAGATCGTGAACGGTTGCTGGAACTCTTGGGTAAGTCTTCGATGCTACCTGAGGTTCAGAAACTGAGTAACGCAACTAGACACAAAGAGATCATCATGAATTCACTCGTCTCGGCCACTAGAAGGAGTAGTGGGATGAGCTGTTGCGTTAATCTTTGACTACCAGTGAGAAGCTGGACACCATTTTTCTATTCTGTGAACCGCGGAGGCACTCATCTAATGCGCTCATTCGACTGGACGTGATGAATATAAGTAGAGCCAAGGAACCACGCGCACCTACTACACGTAGAGCAAACGTACTACAAAAATCATTTGTGTGACTCTATTCGACGTTACGTAAAATCCCGATCGTTATCGTTCAAGGTGGCGGATTAACCACAAGTGGTTACTCTACTCATTAGTAGGCAAGGTTTTGATGGAAACGACTGTGTGACCAGTGGCGTAGTTCTTGCGCTAAGGTTCCGGTCGTCTAACGCAAGGGTCACCAACTGCGGTCCGCGCGCCGGATCCGGCCCGCTTCATGGCATATTGTCCGTGACCTTACACCATTTGAGTTCTAGCGTGGGCCATCTCAGGACAGTTACATACGACACTGTATTACCGTACCATGAGTGACCCCACGTAGTTGGAACATTGAGTCATTACGCGTGAAATCCATTCCTTTGTTCACCTTACCGTGTACCTGTTTAACACCTTTATGCCACAATATTGGGATTAGTGCGCTCAATTGGAGGACGCATGTGTCATTTTCGAGTCATAATTAGAACGAATTTCAGGTTGATAGTACATTGCGCCGAAGCGCATAATTGTTGTGGTTCATACATTCTGGTATTAGTAACTGTATGTCCCCCTAGTGACCCTTGCTCCTCAATTTTTCCAGTGTTTCAAGTGCTCTTTTTACTTTGTTCGTACTTCAGTTTCTTTCTCTTGTTCAGACCCCATTTATTTCAGTCTTTACTAAAGCTACTTAGAAAAGAAAAACGGCCACTGAGTTTCATGCTTCCGTTTTATTTTGTCTCATGTTTTCCGTTTTGGCTCGCAAGTATTTTGCACAATGGTTATGCGGCATATGTTAACCATTTTGCTAGTTATCCGGCCCGTGTCAATCATTTTTCCCGGAATCCGGCCCACACCATTCAATTTTTCATATTATCCGGCCTGCCATGAAAAAGGTTTGGCGACCTCTGCTCTAATGCGATAAACCTCATGTTTCCCATCCTATGAAATAGACGGAATGGGCGAATCTTGTTATCTGCAAAATCTAGATTAATCAGTGCTTCTATGTTACTCGACTCTAATGAATGGAAAGGATGGCAAGTTTCCAGTCATCCTGGGCTGCCGTTACTTGGCTATCCATCACACGAAAGCATTAAACGGTTGTGGCAGGATTTAAAGAGGAGGAGGAGGAGCAGAGGTTTTGCAGCTGACTGCTTCCGGACCGGATGCTCATTCAGCGTAGTATGACGTCCTCTTATGTAATCGATAGTCAATTAGATTGCATTCAATTCACAGATATGGAGTGGACTTACGACCTTAACCATTCGTGAAGTTGTTTACGGGTTGGTTTTCGGATGCGTTAGCTTGACGTGGTCTGAGCGGTTCGACTAGAGCACCCCGGTCTGTCGACATCACTTGTTCTCAAGTTGGGCACGAGGTGCATTTGAGCAGATTGATTGTCTTACCTGTCTCATCCCGTCGATTGATATCCAATCGTAGACCTCATCTGGACAATTGCAGGTCAGTTCGGTATTTCGAAACGCGGCTACTCTATACTAAGTCTGTGAAAAAAGCAGGTTAGGGGAGCCTGGAATAAGTTTGTAGCTGTATGCACATGCAACGGAGCAGCAGCAAGGAGATCTTGTATTTACTGGCAGCTATGACAACGATAGACGATATGTCTTTTTTCATCCTGGCTATCGCATAATTCTGTCCAAGTTGTCTTTGAGTGCGTGAGCTGGGGAGCAGATGTACCAGTGGATGGCCTTTGGTCCAATCGTACACACTAGTCTTGTACATGTTGTAGAGTTCGTAAGCTCTTGACTTCGTCTGCTTTCAGATCGCGTCGAATTGTGTTCACTTCACTGCTTTCTGTCCAGGTTTCGTGCTCCGAACTTTTGGAGGATGAGTGGGTGCCGCCGAAAAAACGACATCGTTTCATAATTAAGAAACTTTTTGCGAGTCGGGACTTTACTCACTACACCTCCATTTCATGTCATGGCAATAAAGAGGTTATGCAATACAGTTTCAAATACAACAAGTTACAATCAGGCCGAGAAGCAAACAGATTAGCGAAACGACAAGTGGGTTGCATATTCCTACGTGATTTTTTTGCAAAATAAGGTTTGCAGACAATGTGTGACTTAGAGGGTTATCAGTAGAAATACCTAACTGCAAACAGACGCGGTTACGGCATTCCATGGGGTGTTTAAAGTATCATCGATAAGCAATCAGTTTCTCGTGAACTTATTGGCTTCTAAGCCACAGAGAGTCGCCTCGAATGAATATGCCATTGTAACTCGGTTTCGTTGACTAACTTGAATTCGTCCCAAATGATAGTCATCAATACTTTCACTTATCAATGTGTGTCGTTAAAGGCCAGTCGACTAGCACTTTCCGTAAAGAATTATCCACCTGTTGCAAGAGAAGTGGAGCTAACACCGGGCTATTCCTCGTTTCAAAATGGCAGTCTAGTATTTTCTGCTGAATTGCAGAGGTTGTGTAACCAGTTGTAGCTGTGACGAGTTACCTGCGAACTTCAACCCTTCCCTTTAGTGCGCTTTCCTCAATTGTCGACTCAATTGTGAATGCGTGCGCTGACTGATATGCTTTCCAACTGGCCATCTACCTTTACTTTGCCCAATTTATCAGGTATCGCCACCCCAGCTAGGTTGGAAAACGAGGCTCTAGACAAACGATAGCCACTGTGCGGACGTTAACCATCCCGGATTGTGTAGTACTACTAGCTGCCTGATCAGCACTCTTATTACGGACATCCAAAACTCACTTTTCATTCTCACAACTCATCGCATAATTGGAGGGCTCTTTTTCAGATATAACGCGCTCTTTCTGTTTCGTAATTGGCAGTGACTAGTCGCCTATACGTTTACACCACATCTCCCCGTAAGTCAAAGGACAGACTTGTGTAGGTATACACAATCTAACAAGCCTAGTAGAGCTCGTTCAGTCTAAGACATAGGTGCTGGTGTGCAAAGCTCCCTACGGTTATCAAAGCATCTTCGGTCAATGAGATAAATTTTGAAAATAAAAGTTACTACTTCGGCCCAGTTCCAAACCACACCTTGTTTGTAACCTGTGAAGAGGTAATTCACATTCACTTGGATGTATTATCTTCATGACACGACCATTTATTGATCCCTACAAACAAACATATGTTGAGGTCTAGGTAATTTAGAGTGATTCTCTACTAAATCCCATTTATCATCCAATATGTCTCCTTACCAGGTAACCCGGACAAGCAGACTCAACTAGATCGGTATGCTCATGTGCCAATTGAGCTCAAAAAGGCAGCTGTCGCAGCCTCCTTAAAGTCTCCCTTATACTTCGGACGCTTTTTCCCCGTCCTTGTGAGTTCCATTGTGACCGTGCACATAGCCGTGTGCTGTGAATTGCCAGAAAATTACTTGGTGCCGTTTGCTCATTTGGCTCATTCTGTTCGGTTTAGATTCTCAATGCTCCAGGCGACACCAACGAGTGCCAATGGCTGGTGGTCGGGCACCATGGCTTACGGCTGGTGTACCAGAACCCGAATCAGCAGGATTTCGACATTCGTATCACGTTCACACTGAGTGAAGTGAAGCAAGTAACTGCTGCTCGAATTCCAACAATCCCTGGATGGAGACTGGCCGATTGCGCGGTGGATGGAAAAGATAGCGTCGAAACAGTCTCTGTTACAGGTGGAGATTCGCAGCGGTTGAATCTGGTGACGATCATTGGGCAAAACGACAAGCTGCAACTGTACACGGATATGGTGAGTAGAATTAACATTCTGCCCAGCTGGTTTTAACAATTCTGTCCGAGGTTACTACTGGTCTTCACAACTGTTACACCGGTTTTGTTTAGTAACCTAGTGCCTGAATGAACACTACTGTTGCGAATCAGTTATTCTGCTTATTTGCAGTGTGCCTTTTACGTGGGGTACAGAGCAGCTTTTAACACTGATTACCGCATGTAGAGTGTGGATTGTACACTGATGACAATGTGGGATGTCAAGCGGGGCTTGTCTTTTCTGCATGTCGCCTAAAAACTTACTTGAAGTCAAACAATCTAGTCTCTTCGTTGTGGGTATGGACCAGATATAAACAAAACGACCCCCAGTTATCGACTAACACATAGTGCATACCACGCGGACGAAAAATGCGACAGTAGTCTAAGGTAAATCCCGAGGAAATTTTTGTTGCACAGCATAACACTAACTTACCGACGCGGTGCACCACGCTTTATTTCGGATCCATGTTTAAAACCAATTCAACAGATTGTGGTCATGCGTTTGTTTGTTCTGCTTACCGTTAGAGTCATCTCCAGTTGGTCCCATAATCAAAGAGCGTTTCTTAAATGAACCGTGGTTGTCATCATGGACCATTCATTCATTCATTAGTGTAAGGTCTGCAGCAGTGGTGGGTTACTGCACCCATATGGCGCCATGGAGATACTTCATATATACACATCCTTTTCCGTTGCAAGTGACAAATGTGTCTGGAGCACCTGTTGGCGGTGGGGTGGCCGACCCCTGAAACAGGAAATGCGCACGTTGGGGATTATTATTTGTCTACCAAGAACGCCGGATATAGAACTCGTCAGTCAGAGTATGTACACCGGTGTAATACCATTTTGGAGGATTGAGTACGTTAACCCGGCAAATAAACGATTGCCTTCTCAGTAATAAACCTCTTCTCACACCTTATGAACTGCGAAGATGCGCTTATTGGTTGAGAATGGATCCACAGGGAAGCTTTTGTTGACAGCTGGAGAAAATTTGTACCAACGGCAGTGAAATGGTATGATACACCTGGACTATTCGAGACCCTTTACCTCTCGGAGCATGTTATCATGCTCACTAAGATCAAAAAGTAGGACACTAGCCACCTTATCCAGGACGGATCGGTAATCTTCTCCTTGACTTTAGCTTAAAGCTGGGGCTTCATGCGTCTCTACTGGACCGAATTCAGGCTTCGGTACTTAGAGTTCTCGAATGCTATTGCTTCATAAACGACCTTGATAGGATTATCACCACAGCTTTTCTAACCTCAGCCGATTTCACCACTGCACGGTTAGTTCTGGAGTGACCGGACGACTAGAAAGCAATCTAGTACACTCTGAATAACACCTCCGACGGATTGGTTCAACGTGGACAAGTGCAGCTTGGGTCAAATATGCCATGTCCACTTCTTTGACTGTTCTATACATATATACATATATATATATATATATATATATATATATATATATATATATATATCAGGGCTGCGCGACACACCATATTAACAAAAATTTTCGGTGCGTGGAGCTCTCACTTTAACCCTTCAGCTGCTCTGCTATGGATTCACGATGGCATTGCAGATATTGAGTAATTCAACTTAAATTTTTCGCTGCCTAGTGAATCCGAGAATCGGAGGCAGCCGAAGTGGCGTCTGAGGCGAATCGGGCATTTCAAACATCATGGTTGCCGTTGGAGTAATTATTCCTTTAGGGTCAACTAACTTTGCACCTTCACCAAATAGACACCATCCTCCTTCCATTGTGGACAACTTCAAAAGCGTTGGTACATCGCACTTAGTTCAAGGTATTTAGTAGCATGGCTTGTGAGAGACTACAACACTTCCTTGTAAAATACCGAGACTTTCCTGGAATATGTTAACCACATGAATTCGTAGAAGACAGTACACCCGAGTGAGCGCCGTTTATATCTTCTATAAAATGTTAAGCAAAATCATTATTTACGGGGTCCTCTGTTCTATGCCGTAGCCCTTGGCTTGCTAATCCATTGGGGAATCGTAGCATTCGATTCCCTAGCTGTAATATGCTAATGTCCGAGTTTCATTCGTATTTGCCTAAATGGCGTAGTATCATCACAAATTCCATGTGGATTCTAGAAAGTAGATGGATTGGGATTACGTAATAGAAGGTGGCAGTATTCCTCAATCCGTGGGTTACGGTGATATTCGGATGAAGCGAGTACGGTGTGCGTAAACTAGTTCGTAATACGTTTACTAGAACAGGTAACTGACTTGGACTAACACATGTTCGTCATTTATTCATTGCATTGCGTATTGCCTTTATTTTCACTGCTTTAGGCCGATCGTGTCTGCAAAATTATAAACAAATTTCTGGATGAATATCAGGAGGAAGTGAGTCTGAAAATTTATGTACAAGGGATTTCAAAAGCCACCATACACCAGTTTTAATCACTCTTCCCGGACTAAAAAGGACGTTTTCTATCTCCCACTAGATCACTCAGGTAGTAGTGAAACGCGCTTTGGATTATATATATGATGGGCTGCGTGCATATCTAAGTTGTTTGTCATATTGACGTAACTGACGAGGGGTCCATGTTGGGACAAGTGCGGTGCCGTGAATAGTTAATGTCTGCTGAAGAAGTGAATCGTCACATGGCACAGCTTTAGCTCTTTGTATGGTGATGTATGGTGGTTGCTCTTCGTCAATTCCACAGTTTCTTTTTCATAAACTGTTTCTTTCAATTAGGCTTCAATCTTATAGGATGGGCTGACTATTGCTATGGAACATTGAGACCAAACGGTCGAGCAATGAACAATGATTTATAACGAGCAAAACAAGCATTGTTTGAGAAGTCCCATGGAATGCCCGGAATGGAACTACAAAATCATGCTTTAAAATAACAGGAAAAATAAAAATTTCTTGGTTTAAGGTGACTCACCGAGCTATTCAAATGAACACATGCTGGTCTGCTCGACGGTAAGCTACGGAGAGGGCTTGTGAGCACACTGTTTTCGATAAATTGTCTTCCGATAGAAATAGACTATGCCGAGTAATGTAATTGGGATAGTGTGTAGTCCAGTCGTTTTTAAGGCGTTAATGTAGGGGCGAAAACAATGTCAGAAGAAATAGCGTCCCGAGTTCTGGATACCTTGAGGGCGAGAAAGTTTTGTCCGCACTGAAGTCGACTATGGTGTGTGGACAGTTTGTGGTGGTGTCCTCTCAGATTGGTATTGTAACTGACTTGCAACAGCTCATGACGCGCATGATTGGGGTTAGTCAGTATTTGGCACACCATAATAAGTTATCCTCGCTGGTGCTGACATTCGCCGCTGTACAAGTCTAAGGCTTGAAGTATGCGTTGCTAGGAGAGGTGAGACAGTCCTCTAACGACTTTTGTCGCCTTACGTTGTGATGTTCCAAGAGCGCCAGCATTGTGCTTGCACCAAGCTCGCCTGGTCTGAATCGGGTACTCCGTGTGGGGCCTTACCTAAGCGTTCAGCATTTGTGGATAGATTGATGGTTCGAACTTCCCGGCCACACTTCGTAGGTCAAATTTCTGACTGACTCTTCTCCATATCTTTTCAGTCTGTTTCGAGTAGCCAAGGTCGTCCTTCGCGATTACTCCTTGGTCGCATTCCTGCGTATTATGTCGCAGCATCTGCTCGTCCGGTCAATACTCCTTAGTACACTGATGGTGTACTCTCAGAGCTTTGCATTTCACCAGGTAAAAGTGGATCTACTGTTCGGATGCCTATGTGTAGGACCTGTCGAGGTCTCTTTGTTGTGCTGTGAGGTGGCTTATTTTCTTGATCTCATGTCAAATCCTGAAGTCGTCTGCAAATAGTGCGGAGGCTGACTGAAGCATTCTACCGAGACCGTTGCCGGATACTAGGAACAGATCTGGTCCGAATAGCGATCCACACTGGACTTCAGTTTGGTCGGAGATGGATCTGCGGACTCTCGCATTCAGCTGACCTAGAATGAAGAAGTTGCTTATCCAACCCAACACAGCGTCACCGATTCTATAGCTTCGAATTTTGTGAAGAAGAACTCGGTGGTCCAGGCTATTGGATGGCTTTGAGAAGTCCAGGTATACGACATCAACGCCTGGTCTGGCCTTTGCTAACTTCGTCCAGCTTTCTCGTGCTAGTAGCTAGTTGGTAGTGCACGACCGATTTCGACAGAATCCATGCTGTCTTGACACCATAGGTTGTTGCTCTCAAGGTATCCTGTGAGTGGTCTCTGAGGTCACTTCTTCCGGAACTTTGGGTAACACCGGTAGTAGCATGATTGGACGGCAGTTGGAAGGTTCTTCACGATTCCCACTCTTCTAAATAAGGGTAACTATTCCTTGTTTCCACCTTGTGGAAATCTGCATTTCCTGAACCTTGTTGGAAGAAACAGGCCAACGGTTCGGCAAGGTTCATGTGTGCTGTTTTTAATGTCTTCGGTCTGATAATGTCCACACCAGAAGAGCTATGCATGCACAAATACAATGGTATTTTCATCACATTTGCAGCAGTGTAGTACGTGGCCTAATCCTGGGGGTAGCGCAGGTTGTGTCATGAACGAATGAAGTGACTATTCATTTTGTAAAGTCCCCGTGAACTGTTACCGTAGCGCGTTCGCTGCATTTTGTGTATTAAGCGCTGCGCTGTCCGGTGTTTGTTACTGTGCTTGTAGTGCCTCTTAGGATTAGTGGAGAATTTTGTCGCTAAGTTTTGTTTGTGTTTATGTATGTCGTCGCGGACTAATTTGACACAGTGATTTCGCTGAGCAATACATGCATCCTAGCGATGCTGATCCGAACAGGCTTTTAAACGCACCAGGCATTTTCGTGCCCGGCTTCCAAGGAAGGACTTTCTTTGCTTCAATCTAAAGACTAGTTTCGGATGCAGTTGCCACTATCCAGCTGCACAAGTTGATGAATTCCTTCCAGGCGATGCCGGGAAGCTGATCAACCAGGAAAGACTAGTTATTTTCTTGGACGAGGTCAGAGAGCGTGCCGTAATAGATGAGAGCGTGAGCTTCCTCGCTGTTTTCACATATGTGTTTCGCGTAGCAGATGTAGCGGAATAGAAACATCACGTGATCGCTACTGCCAAGCGGTGTCCTTATCTTTATTGCATCAATTATTAGTTCCTCGTTGGTGTACACAAGGTCTAAGACAGATGGGTCTTCGTCATTTCTGAGTCTCGTGGGATCGGTGACGTGTTTGTATAGCGCTATATCGGCAATTAATTCTTGCAAGCTCGCTTTGATTTGTTTGCTGAGAGGCAGGTACTGCTATTGTGTGTAGTTTGAGTTCCCCCATCAGAAGAATGTTACTGTATGACCGTGCTAGGATTCGCTTCATGGCAGAACCCAAGCGGTGATCCATTTCTGGGATTAATATAAGAGAGCGGTATATAAGTGCAAGTAAATACCCATCACCATTCCTACTCTTAGGTTGCGTCGATCTTTACACGGGGGAGTCATACAGGGCAAGACTAGCTGAGCATCCGTGTTATTAGTTATCAGCCATGTTTCAGTTATCATGACGATATCCCACGGAGTGGGAAGCCTGACAAGTATGAAGCTCAGCGAACTAAGGGAGAGGACCTCAAGGGTTGCTATATAAGCAGTTGAGGGCCTCAGAGGTTAAAAGTATATTTGTAGCTGCGGGTTCCAGGTAGGGGGTTATGCCGACCTTGTGGGGTCGGCTGTTGGTCGTTTTTTGCTGAACCGTAATCGCTGGCTCCTGTGCGGTTCCGGGTTGGCTTGTAGAATTCTGGACGTCATTAGGTGGTTGTAATCCTAGACATCATTCATCTGATGGAGTCTTTTGTTTACATCCCGGTTCTGGGCGGCATACTGACAGGGGTGTTCACAACGTTTGCATCTTTAGCGCCATCTCGTCGATTTGTGGCCTGGTGCCTATCGACTGTCTACATATTTCGGATTGCAACCTCTTGCGCAGTTTCAGCCACGTTTCCATCACCGTTTTCGCCATGTATTTGGTTAGCAAAGTTATGTTATCATTCATGGACAGTTTCCCGTTTGTTTAGACTATGGCGGCAATCTTGAAACTGAATTGGCGATCACATTTTCGAGTGCTAATAAGGCACGGTTGAAGTGCCATTTATCCCAGTCATGCGCTTTGGCCTGTAGCTCGCATGGACACTGAAGCTCGGGGAGACGGTAAGCAAGAGGCGATTCAAAGTCTATTTGTTTGCAGTACTCGTCCGAGTTTCGTTTGCGTTTCTGGGGTTCGCCCCATAGAACATGCAGAAAAATGCGAACAGTGCATTGGGTGGAACCGAGGCGAGTGACTGAAAAGAGAACTGCCTCTACATAATAATCTGTCCACATTGTCACCTGGATTAACCGCGTTTCAACATAGTATCCGTGTCTTGTTGCATATTTCTGTCAGTACCAATCACGATGCTTAACTTTAAAATTCTTCCCCAGCGTTCAGTTTGGGGAGCCAGATGGAATGGCAACTACTTTGAGTAATGAAAACAGGGTGTTTTGATGAAATGGGGAAGAAAGTGGGTCGTGCTGCTTAGTGCTCTAGTGAAACAATAAGGAAAGGATGCAATGCGATGGGACTTGTTATTTTCTGGCTGCTAGATTATCAGCTTGTGGGTCCATACTCTCCTTGTACGCGCAACCAACCTAATACGCCACAGCATAGCCAAGTGGAACATGACTACGGATATTATATGCGGTACGCTAGCTTGATAAGGGAGTCAGATAAGCTGATTACATACGAAGAGGCTGCTGTAGACCGTCTCCTAATAAATTGCCCAGTTGTGTTGTTATATGCTTATTATTGTAGTAGGTAGGGAAAAATGAAAGGTCGGCTGCGAAAACGAAACCTTCCGCTTTAAAACGGTGTTACGATAGCAGCTTTTAGTGTGTAAGCGAATGGTGGTTTAACATTAACTGCTCTTAAGTACATAGTTCCAGTGATACGTTGGATGCACTTCCCCCTCTACGTTCTGCTTTATTGCGGTGCTGTACATAACAGAATTGCACTGGGGCTTTTACGGGACACCCTAGAAGGCTATTACTTGCGGTTTACTATTTCCGCTTCATAAAATGTTATCGAAGCGCTCATGCCTGCGGTCGTTGTTACCAGATCCATCCTGTTGCCTTGAATATGACGAATGAGCGCATGTTGACTTGAAGTTGATTTTCACCTCTTTGGAATTTATGTAGTTTATGTACCGTTGGTTCTAGTTGCTGGCTCATTCTCCTGTTATACGGGGGATTAGCCCGGTAAGAATACACCAGGTGGCAGGCATAAGCACTCAAACAAGGCGACAAAACCTGTAGGTAAGTGGAAGGCAGCGAAGGAAATGGGACGGCTGCTCAGGAGAAGCCGCAACCACAATGTCCAGAGCCTAAAACGAACCCGCGCACGAGACGTTAGATGCTTCTTTGCCAATAAGACTTCTGTCAA